TTTTTGAAAGAAGTCTGTAATGTTTACCAAGGCTGCATTTATTTGATCAAAAATAAAACTAATATTTTGTTTTAATAATAATAATAATGTAATAATATTGTTTAATAATAACTAACAAAGTAATAATTTTATTACAACTTAAAACAACTATTTTCTATTGTAATATATTTATATATTAATATATTTTAAAATGTAATCAATTTATTCCTGTGATGACAAAGCTGAATTTTCTGGTTTTGTGCTCATGGAACTTTATTATTATTATTATCAATGCTGAAAACGGTGCTGCTTAATTTTGTGTAAACTTTTACACTTTTTCTTTTTCAAGATTCTTTGATGAATATAAAGTTATTTATTTGGAATAAAAAAATGCAACAATGTAAAAGTCTTTATTGTCACCCCTGATCAATTTAACTTTCAATCCTCTGTTATAAGCAATGAATATATATAAACTATCAGTGAAAGGTAGGGTCTGATGAGGAAGATCATAAATCTTCATGATAGGCTTTGCGTTGTACTGTATAGTCTGTGAAGTTCAGCTCTTCAAACAGTCCTCCAAAGATCCTGACTGACCTGGGTGGTGTTACTGTCGAGTTCAATTGTTTGCTTATGTGGAGCTGGAAATGTTAATTTATCCAGCCTGAGATTCAAGCAGTCCATGTAGGATCATCAGGCTGGAATAAAAGGTAGAGCTGTGAGTTTTCTTCATATAGCAGAAGGATGATAGCACCAAGTGATGTGTATACTGAGAAGAGGAGGGCACTGCAAAAATGGCAGAACAAGCCGTTTTCTGTTGGTGGCTGATTTAAACGATGTTACAATGAAGAAAACCAGTGATCTGTAATCAATTTATATTGTATTTATGCAGATTTCTGTAGTATACACAATAGATTCATATAAATTATAATAATTGTAGTGATAATGTTTAAAAACAATATTTAAAATTCATGATGTATTGTACACTTTTGAGGATGGTCCACATTCAAACGTTTATACGGGAGAACAGAAACGGGCCTCTGTCTCCATCTACTGGTCAACTATATATATATATATATAAAAATATCAGATTTCCAGGATAACTTCATTTCAGTAGGGTCGGTGAAGTCATTGAACCTGGAGATGTGATGGTTTTGTAATATAATGTTGTGATAGAAATATGTATGTATACACACACACACTATATATATATACAGTGGTGTGAAAAGTGTTGGCCCCCTTCCTGATTTCTTATTTTTTTGCATGTTTGTCACACTTTAATGTTTCAGATCATCAAACAAATTTAAATATTAGTCAAAGATAATGATCTGAAACATTAAAGTGTGACAAACATGCAAAAAAATAAGAAATCAGGAAGGGGGCCAACACTTTTTCACACCACTGTATATATATATATATATATATATATGTGTGTATTATTTAATGTTTATTTTTTTAATTTAGTTTACAATTTCAGAGTCCTACACTGTCACTGTAATATTTGCTGAATGTGATGCACAGTTCATATTCATGACTCATGGCAGTCACTTGAGTTGTAAGAAGCTTCAGCCCCTCTGATGCAAGTCACTGGCACTGATTCACGTAAATGCAGTTAAATCAATTCAACTGTCTCTGGGATTGCTTTAATAGCACTGTGAACTCTCTCTCTCTCTCTTTGTGTGTGTGTGTGTGTGGATACATGAATGTACTTATAACGTTCTATAGCTCAGGCTCAGTCGATAGGATTTAGGTATCAATGCAATGATGGGATAGAGTCTAGTCTGTTCTAATCAGTTTCATGTTTGTACACTTTTTACTTCAGCAAATTTTTTATAGAATTGCTTAATTTTTAAAAACGTTTCTGATTGTGATATGCATTTATGCTGTCCGGGCGAGTTGGCACAACGGAACATGCTGCTAAACAGCCTATAACAGGCTTTTTTTCAGTAATATGAAACTGAGAGAGTGAAAGAGAGAGTGAAAGCAAAAAATGTAACGGGACATGTACAAAAATATTTAATGATTAATGATTTAAAACGTGACATTTATCATTTAACAACATTTTGATTAATTCACAACATTTCAACAGAAAACAACAAATATATGAATGAGTACATTATATATATACAGTATATATAGGATATATATATAGAGAGAGAGAGAGAGAGAGAGAGAGAGAGAGAAAGAGAGATCAATAAAATATTCTGCTGTCATGAAGACATCACGATAGCTAATGGAACTGAGTGAAGTTATTGTGGAGAAATGACACATGCTGCCAGTGTGTGTTTGTGTGTGTGTTTGTGTGTGTGGGGCGTGTGAACGGTGCCGCTGACCGGGGCTGCTGCCTCAAACACAACACTGTCTTTCAGCCGTCGAAGAAGAGTACACGAAAACGGTAGGGTTTTTCATGTCATTTCAAAATGTTTAGAAACTTTATGCTTCTCAGTAGCGTTTGGTTAAAAGATAAAACGGAGGAACAGGTGTAACGTCAGTAGGTCTTACGCAACATCCCTATAGCCTACCATTACCAGTACCATTTCAAGTACACTTATTGTTAGGGAATTAAAAAAAAAAAAAAAAAAATATATATATTGATTAGAAGTTTATTTATAATTGTATGTATTTTTTGTGTTTGGCTTATAGCAAGTGGATTACCTTGAATATATTTCCTACTGTACACATCCTGTCTAAATTAAATAACATACATCTCTCATGAATGTAAGGACATAAAGATAATCAAATATCCTGTGAATTCAACATCCAGATTAGATGCAAACAAAATAACACTCTTATTGAGTTGCATGCTGTGTTTAACAAAGTTTATGTGTGGATATGTAGGGGTGTGTATGAGGTCTGCTCAGAGCTCTTGTACTGTAAATACTGTGATTGTGCTCAAACATTTTTTCTCTATGGTGGGAGTGTCCAGTGTCCATTGTGCGTTTGTAACCCAGAGCGAATTACAAAACATCTTATTTCATTTTTTTCCATCAATGAAAGGCAGCAAAGAATGACATCACCAGATAGTCCAGGAAAGAGCATACTGCACACTCACAGAGTGCTGGTGCCATCCGGTATTACTGTGCCTCTAAATTATTGATTAGGTCTTAATCACTGGGGCCAACAGATCTCTGGCAAAACGCTCTCTCTATCTCTCTCCGTTTGAGATATGAAAATATGAACGACTATTCTGTGTCTTGTGCCACTGTCTGTCTAAGCCCCTCATAATGAGATGCATGACAGGTAGATGAAAGGCTTGGGAGGATCCACTAACCTTTACCATCAAAGTTGTGTTCTGTAGGGGATTCAACGCTAAACGCAGTAAAACACTTTGTAAATAGAAACCTTTTACGCTGTCTAGAGCGCAAACACAAATACGCACTCGATAGTTTGCCATATCTGTTTCGCCAATATGTTAGTATTACAGCTTCAACTGAGGGTGCTTAGCACCCCCGTTAAACCGGGCCTGAAGGGGATTGTTAGGGTGCTTTCACACATGGCCTGTTGTTTCGGAACCTGGCGCGTTTGAGGGAAGCATATAATATTGTCATTGCTTTTGTCATTGTCATCAGGCTTTTTATTATTATTATTTTTTTAAATTATTATTATTATTTTTTTTTTTATTGAACTCAAATATTTTACTAAATTCACGTGACCCAATGAAAACAAAGATATTATTCAATCTTTATTTATATGTTTTAGTACAAAGTAGTCCACTTTTCAAAAAGTATTGTATTTTATTGTATTGATATAGGCCTGTTTTTTATTTGAGGTCTCTGATGTCCCATGCATAATCAGTTATGTAATCAGATCTGTTACTTAATCAGATTACTTTTTTCAAGTAACTAGTAAAGAAGCACATTCATTTTAAATTTACAAGAAAACAGTTCTGTTTTCAAATAAGTAGTAACGCAAGTTACTTTGTTTTCCCATTTATTCACTGACACTTCTCCTGTACCCGCGTTGAGAGAAATTGGGAGTGAGGTACAGAGGTAGAGGCACTTCCTGTAGGATGAGGTGTTTTAATTTCACTTTTGATGTGAAAGGGCCTTTACAGTTGCCAAAAAGATAACTTTTGGGTTTTTTAGTTAAATAAATAAATAAATAAGCAAGCCCAGCAGGTGACAAAATGTAACATAATGATTTACTTTCATAAAAAGTAACTTAGATAGAAACTTTGCCCTGTGAAAGCGAACCGCACCAAGAATAAAAAGCAACATTGTAATAATTTTAATCCCTGTTTCGGAACAAAGCAATCGATCTACAGGTGTGAAAACACCCTTAGTTTTGTTCTCTAGTTATTTTCCTGTGAGCTGAGAATGCCCTTCATGGATGTATTTCACCATTTTGTTGATTTTCGTTCCGTTTTTAAAAGGTTTAAAACGTGTGCACCTTCGTTCAAGAATTCTGTGTTGGGACAATTTCTCAGGTAGCCTACATTATTAAAATTAATAGGCCTACATGCGCAATCACACACACATTTAATCCTCAAGCTCTGGTTGTCCCTGTGACCTTCTCAATGTATGTTCACTTTTGATGTGAAAGGGCCTTTACAGTTGCCAAAAAGATAACTTTTGGGTTTTTTAGTTAAATAAATAAATAAATAAGCAAGCCCAGCAGGTGACAAAATGTAACATAATGATTTATTTTCATAAAAAGTAACTTAGAAATGCAATTAGTTACTTTTTATGGAGTAACGCAATATTGTAATGCATTGCTTTTAAAAGTAACTTTCCCCAACACTGTGAATAATTAATTTAAAAAAGAATGTTATCAAGTTAAAATTTTGTTTAGAATCACTTCTTATAAGATTAGGAAAAGTATCAACCTGCTATGTCAATGTTAAATTTTTCAAGCCATTTAACTGGCTTCCAAAAAGACCTCAAAAGAAAAAATAAAGGTTAAGACTGAAATATTAAATATTTTATAAGTTTTAATAATATCATTTTATAATTATTTTAATTATATTGTTTGATGTCATCCCACAGCAAATTGAACTTGATCATCTTTTATTGTAGAATAAAAGTGCCAAAATGGGAAATGGGTCGATGAAGCTGAACCCTCTTAAGCAGGTCAGTGGCTCTGGCAAATCCAAAAACAATGGAGAATCAAGCTCAGTTTCTCAAGTTCTCAGAGTCAGAGTGGAAGAATTAGAGAATCAGCTGAAGAAGAAGGATGAAGACCTGAATGCCAAGGAGATTCAGATCAAACATCTAGAGGAGCAGCTGGCCCAGCAGAGACAGACCATCTCAGAGATCTCTGACACTTTAAGAAACAAGTGTCTCCACCTCAACAAGCTCCAGGATGCACTGAAGAATCAAGGCGAGTTAGGTCTCCTGCCATCACCTATCAAGGAAAAGGTCAGTCAGTGTCGCACTGGCCTGCTCAGAGATACCCTCAATAGGAGGAAAGGAGCAAAAGCTGGAGTTTCTGCAGAACCTTCATCCAGAATGTATGATTCCAGTGGTGTACCAAAGTTCTACTTTGAGAGTGCACGAGTCTGGAAAGAGCAAAGGTGAGAGATCCATTTTCTGCTTGTGATGCCAAAAGTAAATCCTTACAGAGTTTGATTGACAGTTGTGGTTATGGTAATAAGGAGAAAGGAGAAACAGCAGTGATTTTTGGTGCTAATGCGTCATTTAAATTAGTTGACTATCTGTTAAGGAGCTACTCATGTACTCATTGTCATGTGATGAGGCATATAATCTCACAGTGGATTTATATTATATTATATTATATTAAGTGGCCTTAACTACTATGTACTTACATCAAAAATCAAGTACAATGTACTTATTGTGTTCATATTGTATTGCAAAACACTTTTGCTGCTATTGCGGTGGGATATGGGTAAGGTTAGGGACAGGTTTGGTGGTATGGGTAGGTTTAAGGTTGGGTTAAGGTGTAAGGGATGGGTCAACAGTGTAATTATAAATGTAATTACAGAAATTATTTATAGATGTAATTACATGCAGGTTTTTTAAAAATATAAGTACAATGTAAAAACATGTATGTACACAATAAGTGCATTGTACCAAATTATTAATTTAAATGTAAGTACATAGTTGTTAAGGCCACTTAATATAAAGTGGGTCCATATTATATTATATTATATTATATTATATTATATTATATTTTTGTGTCTGGCTGCAATATGTAATAAATTAATATTGAATAACTTTTTAGACACAATGTTGACAGTTATTGTGCATATTTTGTTTGACCAACAAAATACTTCTAAGTAAAAAATACTTCTAAGTATTACATTCGTTAATTTTGAATGAATCGATTTAATGAACGAATTACTCATAAAGACGGTCATTTGTAGAAGTCACTGTAAATCCTCACCACACAGACTGTGACAGTTTTGAATGCACAAACACGAATAAGCGGAATGATACCAACAGTAAAAAGTCCTGGTGCACTTGGAAGTTCGAACGGTGGTACTAAAGCCAGAAACATACTTCACGCAAATACACGAACGCAGTCGCTACTCGCTACGCTTTGCCAATATCCGCACTTGCATTCGGTTATTAGCTTTCAGCTGCGCAAGATCGACTTCGTAAGCAAAATCATTGCGCTGCAAAATGCGCCGACTGACTAAGCGCTTGAGGTTGTGTTTCTGGCCTAACAGTCGGATTTGTGTGAATTAGGGATTGGTTAATAACTATTCGCTAAAATCATAAGGATTAAATGTGGTTTATGTTTGTGAACTCTAATGCTTTAGGTGGTCATTTTATGTGTTCGTGCTGTGTACTGTACAGGTACATCTCAAAAAATTAGAATATCATGAAAAAGGCCAATATTTTTTTTCACTCATTTCAGAAAGTGAAACCCATATATTATATAGATTCATTACACATAGAGTGAAATATTTCAAGCCTTTATTTCTTGAAATTTTGATGATTATGGCTTACAGATAATGAAAACCCAAAATTCAGTGTCTCAGAAAATTAGAATATTGTGAAAAAGTTCAATATTGGAAAGTCATGGTGTCACACCCTAATCAGCTAATTACCTCAAAACACCTGCAAAGGTTTCCTGAGCCTTTAAATGGTCTCTCAGTCTGGGTCAGTAGGCTACACAATCATGGGGAAGACTGCTGACTTGACAGATGTCCAGAAGACAGTCATTGGCACCCTCCACAAGGAGGGTAAGCCACAAAAGTTCATTGCTAAAGAAGCTGGTTGTTCACAGAGTGCTGTATCCAAGCATATTCATAGAAAGTTGAGTGGATGGAAAAAGTGTGGTAGGAAACGTTGCACCAGCAAAAGGGATAACCGCAGCCTTGAGAGGATTGTCAGGCAAAATCCATTCAAGAATTTGGGGGAGCTTCACAAGGAGTGGACTGAGGCTGGCGTCAGCGCATCAAGAGCCACTACGCACAGACGAATCCTAGACATGGGCTACAAATGTCGCATTCCTCGTGTCAAGCCACTCCTGAACCAGAGACAACGTCAGAAGCGTCTTACCTGGGCTGTGGAGAAAAAGAACTGGACTGTTGCTCAGTGGTCCAAAGTCCTCTTTTCAGATGAAAGTAAATTTTGCATTTCATTTGGAAATCAAGGTCCCAGAGTCTGGAGGAAGAGTGGAGAGGCACAGAAACCATGTTGCTTGAAGTCCAGTGTGAAGTTTCCACAGTCAGTGATGATTTGGGCTGCCATGTCATCTGCTGGTGTTGGTACACTGTGTTTTCTGAAGTCCACAGTCAACGCAGCCATCTACTAGGAAATGTTAGAGCACTTCATGCTTCCTTCTGCTGACAAGCTTTATGGAGATGCTGATTTCATTTTCCAGCAGGACTTGGCACCTGCCCACACTGCCAAAGGTACCAAAAGCTGGTTCAATGACCATGGTGTTACTGTGCTTGATTGGCCAGCAAACTCGCCTGACCTGAACCCCATAGAGAATCTATGGGGTATTGTCAAGAGGAAGATGAGAGACACCAGACCCAACAATGCAGATGACCTGAAGGCCACTATCAAAGCAACCTGGGCTTCCATTACACCTGAGCAGTGCCACAGGCTGATTGCCTCCATGCCACGCCGCATTGATGCAGTAATTCATGCAAAAGGAGGCCCAACCAAGTATTGAGTGCATAGAAATGAACATACTTTTCAGAAGCCTGACATTTCTGTTTAAAATATCCTTTTTTTATTGATCTTATGTAATATTCTAATTTTCTGAGACACTGAATTTTGGGTTTTCATTATCTGTAAGCCATAATCATCAAAATTTCAAGAAATAAAGGCTTGAAATATTTCACTCTATGTGTAATGAATCTATATAATATATGGGTTTCACTTTCTGAAATGAGTGACAAAAAATATTGACCTTTTTCATGATATTCTAATTTTTTGAGATGTACCTGTATGTGTCTGTATTTGAACAGGAATATTCATTATAGTATCAAGCATCCTCAAAGAGCTAAATAAATAGATGTGCCAATTTTTCATGTTGGTAATTAGTCTGTTTTTTTTTCATATGCTAAGTTTATGGGAGACCTTGCGCGTAGGTGCTCATTATGTTGGGCGGCTTATGTTGGTCTAATCTGCCTGCAAAACACCATGCTGAGATTCATTATCTTGTTTCTACTGTAACACTGAAAATGAAACAACTGGTGCTCCTCATAGTGTGAACTGTCCAATTAGTCCATCTTGAATAAACAGAGCTGGGTAGTAACTGATTGCATGTAATCTGGATTACATAATCAGATTCCAAAAATGAAGTATTTATTAGATTAAATTACATTTTAAAATACTCGTAATCAGACTACAGTAACTTTTGTACTTATTACATGATTACATATTATTCACAAAATATTAATTATTTATTTATTCTCCCAAATTCCTCTTTTTCATCTTTTAATTGTTCCTTTTTAAAATAGCCTACCGCTTATATACACTCAGAAAGTCTTCCTGTTTTGTGGACATTCGCACAAAGACCAGTCGCTAGTCAGGTGGCTACACAGCATTTGACCACTAAATTTACAAAATCATTTCAGGTGTTTCAACATTGCATCACCTACTGATGAACACATTAATATTTATTTGAATTATCACTCAGTAGGTTATTTAACCATCTATTATAATGTCTTTGGAAGACTTTTGTCTTTCAAATACATTAAAATGCACAAATTCACATTATTTCTTATTTACATGTAATCCAGGCATTCCCAAACCTTTTTGTCATCTGAACATCTTTCACCTATACATTTACTTGAAGTACCCCTGAGATTTTAAAATAAATATTTAATAATAAAGTATCAATTTGCATGTTCATGGTTCTCTGACATTGGTTAATGGTCACATGACATGCAGGTAAACAAATAAAATAATTTTTTTCAGAAGTTTATTTCGATTTATGTTATTTTAAAATGATTTATTTAAATTTTAAATTTTTATTATTTAATTAATGATGAACTTTTCATTAAACTCACAAACCCCCTACAGTAGTACCCCAGTTTGTAAAGTTTAATGCACTTTATGTTGTTCATTTCAATTAATGGAATATATTTTCTTAATCTTTGTATTTTTATATCAATATATGGTACAAGATTATCCTATTTAAAGGGTTAGTTCACCCAAAAATGAAAATTAGGCGCTGCGTTTCCGCGTGCGTCACTTCTGAGCGGCGCATGCTCAAAGCTGACCTCATACGTCATCCGCCCGGAACTGCTTCTGTGTACAACAGTGAGCGCAAGCTAGATTAAAGTGATTATTACGTTTTGAATATGGATATTTTTCTTACAAAAAGGCATCGATTCACTACAGAAGGCCTTTGTTCACCCCACGGAGCCATGTGAGACACTTTTTTTTAATGGATGGGCACTTTTTATTTAACTTCTTTTGGACTGAAGCAATGCAACACCCGCTGACTGTAGTGATAGAGCTTGGAATAGCCAGGACAATTTTTAATATAACTCCGACTGGATTCGTCTGAAAGAAGAAAGTCATATACACCTAGGATGCCTCGGGGGTGAGTAAAACACAGCCTAATTATCATTTTTGGGTGAACTAACCCTGTAAATCAATGTGATAAAAAAGTTAGGTCAAAAGTAATCTAAAAGTTATTAAAAAGTAGTCTGATTATATTATGTGTAATGTATGGATTACGTTACTAACTACAATTTTTGTTATGTAATTTGCAATCAGTAACAGATTAAGTAATCTGTAAGTAATCTACCCAGCTCTATGAATAAATTAATAAGAAGAATAACAACTGCCGCTATCACAGTTTCAAGCAAAACAGTATTCTTTCATATTTGTTTTCTTTGATTAGCCTATCTTATGACAAATGTGTTTCTAACAGTGTAAAGAAGCTCCTCACAGATGCTTTGAATAAGAACCAGTATCTGAGAAGACTGGAAGTGCAACAAGTCAAAGACATGGTGGAATGCATGTATGAGAGAACGTACCAGCAGGGAGAATACGTCATTAAACAAGGAGAGCCAGGAAACCACCTGTTTGTGCTTGCAGGTACAAATTGAGTAACTGATTGTATTATTCCATTATAATCACACCGGCTAGGCATTATTATAAAGACAATATAAGGTACTATTTTAAAACCCTTTTAGTGCAAATTCACTCAGAATGCAAGAAAGAATTTGTGTTTAAGTGCTGTTTACTCTTACAGATGGCAAGCTAGATGTCTATCAGCACAACAAACTGCTCACATCAATAGCAGTGTGGATCACATTTGGTGAATTAGCCATCTTGTACAATTGCACCAGGACTGCCTCGGTTAAAGGTGAAGTATTTCCTTTGTACTTCATTCTGTCTCTCTCAATGTATGTGTATGGGCTGTTTCTGATGAATATGTTATATAATTGGTTAACAGAGACAATCACAAATTTGTCCCTGCACTGCCGCTCTCTGTGTGTTTAGTTCATGCTGTGACCATGGATTGGCCTCATGTAGCCACAGGCTATCTCACCAGTGAGAACTAAAACACCATTGTTTTGTCTTGTAGCCTTAATCTTATTGAGTTGTCAGTAATTTTGTTTGTTTCTTTGTTTTTGCACGGCCAGATGTCAAATGCCTGTCCTTATAATATCTTTTATTCCCACTCGAAAAAAAAACATTGATGTGCAGTAAAACATGCACTATTAACAGTAATGTTAAATCATTGTGGTGCATTTTTTAGTGGTTAATTCTTATTCTTAATGTGAACTAACTAAATGACTGTTAGAGAGAATGTTGTTTGCACTTACATTGTAGCTAGTTTGATACTCAAAACATAGTAGACTTTTTTTAACCTCTACCCAAGTCACCACAATAAAATTTTTATCATTTCCTAATGGCCCTATTGGAAGCAGCTGTTGTTTCCTGGTTACTGAATCACTGAAGTTTAAATGGATGCCACTCAGCGAGGAACGAGGAAGCTTCTGGTATTTCCCTTACCTGCTGTTTTGTTATGATCACAGCTGCCAGCAATGTGAAGACATGGGCCCTCGATCGAGAAGTCTTTCACAACATCATGCGGATGACTGCCGAGGCTCGACAAGAGCAATACCGCAACTTCCTGAGGAGGTAATCCAAACTGCTCATCCCTCCCGCTATTTACTGTGGTATCCCACCACATAATGTGTAGCCAAGCATTAGCTGGGCCTCAAAAAAACATCAAAAAGTGATTTTTACATGAAACGTTGTGGAGATCAAACAAGCAAATAAAGCATAGCGAGGATTTTTTTTGGTGGCATTAGCCATGCTATTGATAATGAAGGTCAGTTTGGTGGCCTTCACGGTCTGGTTGAAGTGACCTCTGCGACCTTGCTTATATAACTATCTGTTTAAATAGCACACATGAAAGGAGGAAAATACAATAATTCAGTTTGAGAGATATTATCTTATATAAGATTAAATTAACTGTTCTCCATAACCATCAGTTCAATCCAAGTCAAAGGGGCAGTCTTAAATTGACTGTATCAGTTTAGTCATATGACAATCATAGATCAACATTTAAACCAAAATGTTTTAAGACAGATAAACATAGAATTGAAATTGAATGGTTAGTTAAATACATAAATGGCAAAAATGGCAAAAGTTATATTTAGAAAATCAAATGATGCCTCGTTGCTTGTCTCCTGCAACTGTCCTAACCTTTTGATTATTATATTTTACTTTATTATTTTATTTTTAGTGTTTCACTTCTTGCCAGTCTGCCTGGGGACAAACTAACTAAGATTGTGGACTGCTTAGAGGTGGTAAGTAACCAGTCCCATCAGATCCTATGTATCCTTCTGTAGTGAATACTTGTTTTCAAATGTCTAGATCCAAAGTGACAATTTTGATAAAACAATGGCGATATTACATCTTTCATCACTTGGCCCAGTATATTGTTACTATACTTATTTGACTAAGGCTGAGCGAAGTGTTCACTTCAGTCAAGGGGACGAGTGATTTGTTAAAGATGTTTGTAGCAGCCAGTATAGGCTGCTGACTGATTTATTCCATTTCTCCATGAGGGGCTAAAGCGAGTTTTTCTAAAAGAGTGTGGGCTTTGTCAACTCAATGTCAAATAAGCCTCCTCGTGTTCTTCCATGCTGAACAAACATCAAGGACATTCTTCTCGATTGTCGGCCCCTTGGGTTGAATGGGAGAATGTCGTTATTCAATCACTCCGATGGAGTTGATTATATTCCCTTCTCTAGGGGTAAGGAAGCAATGTAACCCAATAGTGGCCCAGATGTTTTGGACTGAAACATGCAGATAATGTGGAACTCTATCATTAAACAGTGGGGAATGGAATGCAGACGGGACGCTGGGAGCAGACAAATGTTTTGAGACCCTCAGAGGAGCGTGGCATGCCTAGAGAGCTTCTCTAATGAAACAGCAGAGCTCTGTCAGAAAGACAGTTGGGGATGGAGATCAGTTGAGAACATGGACCAGAGAAATGAAGACTCGAACACTGTCTTGGAATGTCTCTGACGCACCACTACAATGTTCTAGAATGGTTCAATGATTACGTTTGGCAAAACTCAGATTTAAGTCTAATTTGAAACATTCTAAACAAGATTTGATCTCAGTTTTCAGCTGAATCGTTCCATTCCACTGTAAATAGAACATTATTTTTGCAAATCACTTGAAAACATTCTTGGTCTCCGATTGAATTGGAGGAATACCAGTTCAGGCACAGAGTTCTCAAGCTCTAGTCAACAAAGTTAATCAACATAAATTTTAGCTTATTCTGGAGTATTGAAGCCAGCTCTAAAATGCTTTTTAGATGCTAAAATGCTCATTTTTGTTATTGTTATTTATTATAAAGAAGTTGAACTGCTTTAATGGTTAGTGAAGTGTTAATCTTAATGACAACAGTACAATTTCTAACTGCTTCTAATGTGAAAACTGGCATGAAACACATTTTAGGAAATTTGACCTAAGTATGTAGGAGGTGTATCTACTTCTATCGCTGTGGAAGCAGACATGGCGGCCTTCCTGTTGTCTCCCTCGGGGGGATCTCTCCGGGAATATGACAGCACTGGCTTGATGGTAAAATCAATAGCTAAATGAGTTTGTCTTGTGTTTTCTGATCAGGAATATTATAATAAAGGAGACTACATCATCCGGGACGGAGAAGAAGGAAACACATTTTACATAATTGCCAACGGAAAGGTAAAATTTGCATTATATTATTTGCTTGATTCTGTGTATTTATTGTATTTAGTGTATTATGCCTAATTATTTCTCATTCCATGGGCTTACTTAAAATGAGATATGAATATATTCAATGTGGATATTCAATATATATTCAGTGTATTCAATATATTCGATGTGCCTTTCTAGTATGATCATTATTGATTTCCTCCTTTCCAGAAACTTTTAGTAATAATAAATAAATGTGACCTTGGACCACAAAACCAGTCATAAGGGTCAATGTTTTGAAATTGAGATTTATAGATAATCTGAAAGCTGAATAAATAAGCTTTCCATTGATGTATGGTTTGTTAGGATAGGACAAAATTTGGCCGAGATACAACTATTTGAAAATCTGGAATCGCCTTTAAAGTTGTCCAAATGAAGTTCTTAGCAATGCATATTACTAATCAAAAATTAAGTTTTGATATATTGAGAAAATCGCCTTTAAAGTTGTCCAAATGAAGTTCAATGCATATTACTAATCAAAAATTAAGTTTTGATATATTTACAGTAGGAAATTTACAAAATATATTCATGGAACATGATCTTTACTCAATATCCTAATGATTTTGGCATAAAAGAAAAATCGATAATTTTGACCCATACAATGTTTTTTTGGCTATTGCTACAAATATACCCCAGCGACTTAAGACTGGTTTTGTGCTCCAGGGTCACAAATAATAAAGTTAATAGCCCTTTATCAAGCCCACTGAATACATACAAGTATTTATTACTGCCAAGTATAGAGGTTATGCTATATCCTCACACCATTAAATGCTAAACCACCAAAAAAACAAAAGTGATTTAACACACTCGAGGCACCATTTTTCCACCCCACTAATCCTCATGGACTTCACTGCAGATGCTGATCTGGGTCTGTGGGAGGTCGAACGCGTTCAGATAAATCAGTAATTCGACACTGAAGGGTATAAGAGACAGGACTCTCCACTGGGAAGCAACAGGAACTGTTTAGCATGAGCTAGTCAGGCTCAGATCCCCTGTTGATTTCTGCTCCACTGTCGCTCAAGATGGGGGTGGGAAGGAAGATGTTTTACTGAGGGGGAGATAATTTAATTACCGGAAATTATGGTTCTCGTCAGCCTGTCGCCACCATGTCCGAGAGCGTGTTGGGAATAAGGCCATTACTGCCGGCCACCAAAAACTGGCGGTTGATCAGAAAAGTCAAGAGGTGTCACCGTGGTTTTCTGGATCATTTTACAGAATTGAGAATGAATCAGAATTCAGACAACTAACTCCATTTCTTCAGTATCGTTATTATTGATTACATGCTGCCTAGAATTGAAGGATGCAGTCTATATGTGATGCATCATCTCAACACATGAAATTTATATAATTAATAATAGATTTGGACCATAAATCCAAAGTAAAAAAAAATACAGATCATAAGACATACAGTTGTTCTCTTAAACTGATATGGTTTGTACATTTTGAAATGTAACCTCTGCCTTTCTGTGCTGCCCAGATTAAAGTCACACAGAGCACACAGGATCATGAAGAGCCTCAGATCATCAACACCTTGGGGAAAGGGGATTATTTCGGAGAGAAGGCCCTCATCAGGTGCTGTCTTTCATCAATCCCCAGCTCAATTCTCATTTCCCCACTTTAATCCTGTTTCAATAACCTTTTGGTAAATGAGGTCTTTTAGTATTGCTGCTGTAACAGAGAGCAACTTAGTCTTGTCAACGTGTATATGACTTAACAGAATATTATTACAAACAAATCCATAAAACTGTCATTTTAGGAGCCATTTTTAGCTCAGTTTATGTCTAATTCACTGAATGTGTTCCTGCTTTGTCAAACCATAGCGATGATGTCAGGTCTGCGAATATAATCGCAGATGAGGATGGCGTGGAATGCCTCGTCATTGATCGAGAGTGAGTTCCTACTTCAAGATCGTCATCATTCACTTGATTATGATTTTTTTGGTACTCAGTGACAGTAACAACGGTCTTTTCTCAGAACCTTCAGTCAGACTGTTGGAACTTTTGATGAGCTTAAAAAGTACCTGCAGAGCTATGTCGAAAATTTAGCACGGGACGATAAGAAAAGAAATGCTAAGTAAGTACTAGCTGTTTCTTTTTATTTAAACAAGGATAATCTTCTTGACTTCTTGCCTCTCCATTGTGCTGTCAAACAGTGTTTTCAAGTGTGTATAGCTTACACTGTAAAAACGAATTAGCTGACCTTACTTAAACCAAACCAAAATAAAAAACACTTTTTAGTTTCAACAACTAATTAATTTTAAGTTAAATATAGGCTGATATTTACCAGCAATCTCCAATTGACAGAACTGAAGAATATAATTCATATAATTCATAACATGTACATATGCACATACTGCAGACATAATCCACCTATTTATTCTGATATACAGTGAGGTCCGAAAATCGGAGACCACTTATGAAAATTATTCTGTTCTGAATGTTTGCATTTTTTTTTTAACTTTATCAGCAGAACAATGGCCAATGTCACAAATGTGCTCATTTAATTATATTAAATGATATTCTTTTAGGAGGTCAGGAAGCCGCACTCCTCCCACCACACCTGTGTCACATGATATGATTGAGCTGAAAGAGAGAGAGAGCAACTTTGCATCCACCATACCCTTCAGCTGCCTCGAGGTTATTGCCACGCTGGGAGTTGGAGGCTTTGGCAGAGTTGAATTGGTTAGAAACTTGTTGAAAATAATCACACTTTCTCTTCATCATTTAACATTCAAACAAAAAATCATTTACACAAAGTGAAGGAATAATATGTGACCCTGGACCACAAAACCAGTCATAAGGGTCAATTTTTCAAAATTGAGATTTATACATCATCTGGAAGCTGAATAAATAAGCTTTCCATTGATGTATGGTTTGTTAGGAAAGGACAATATTTGGCCAAGATACAACTATTTGAAAATCTGGAATCTGAGGGTGCAGAAAAAAATCAAAATATTGAGAAAATCGCCTTTAAAGTTGT